ACAAAAAAGCGCTGTATTTTTTCTAATGCTTTTTTGCATCTATAGATATGATCATTTTTTTTTAATTTCAATTTGTTTATGTGATGTATCACATTTATTGATTTTCAAATATTGTAGCAGCCTTGCATCCTCAGAATAAATCCCTCTTGATCATGGTGTATGATCTTTTTAATATATTGCTTGATCTGATTAGCTAATATTTTGTTGAGGATTTTAGCATCTGTGTTCATCAAGGATATGGGCCTGTAATTTTCTTTCTTTATAGTATTTTTATCTGGTCTTGGAATTGGGGTAATGCTGGACTTCAGAAAAAGAGCTTGGAATAGCTTGAGGAGGATAGGTATTAGTTCCTCTTCGAATGTTTGGTAAAACTCACCTGCAAACCCATCCAGTCCAGGACTTTTGTTTGCTGGAAGTTTTTTGATTACTTACTGCTTCAATTTCATCAGCTGTCATTGGCCTAGTCAGGTTTTCTGTTTCTTCCTGATTGAATTTTGAAAGATTGTATGTTTCTAAGAATTTGTCTACTTCATTCAGGTTTTCCAGTTTGTTGGCATATAGTTCTTCATAGTATTTGCTTACAATCCTTTGTATTTTTATGGTGTCTGTTGTTATATCACTTCTTTCATTTCTGATTTTATTTATTTGGGTCCTCTCTCTTTGTTTCTTGATGTCTGGCTAGAGGTTCATCAATCTTGTTTATCTATTGAAAGAAGCAGCTCTTGGATTTATTTTTTTTTTTTGTACTTTTTTATTCGTTTATTTTATTTATTTAGTTTATTAGTCTTTTTTTTTTCTTCTTGAGGTAGGTCTGTAGTGTTATGAACTTTCCTCTCAGGATTGCTTTTACCATGTCCCATAGGTTTTGAGTGTTCATTTTCATTTGTTTCCAGGAAGCTTTTAATTTCCTGTTTGATCTCATTGATGATCAATTCATTGTCTGATAACATGCTATTTAGCCTTCAGGTATTTGAGGGGTTTTGAGTTTTTTTAATTGTAGTTGATTTCTAACTTCATGCAATTTTGAACTGAGAAGATGCTCGGTATTATATAAATCTTCTTGAATCTGTGTAGACTTGTTTTGTGCCCTAACATGTGGTCTATCTTTGAGAATTTTCCATGTGCACTGGAGAAGAAGTATACTCTGTTGCTTTGGGGTGAAATGTTCTGTAAATATTGGTTAGATCCATCTAATCTAGTGTGTCATTTAAGGTCTCTGTTTCATTGTTAGTTTTTTATCTGAAAGTTCTATCTCGTGATGTCAGTGGGGTGTTATAGACCTTTACTATGACTGTATTGCTGCCAATCTCTTTCATAAAGTCCATCAAGAGTTTTTTATGTACTCGGGTGCATATATGTATTGGGTGCATATATGTTTCTAAGGGTTATATTTTCTTGTTGAATCATTTCCTTTAGTATTATGAAGTGGCCTTCTTTGTCACTTGTAGCCTTTGTTTTGAAGTTAATTTTGTCTGATATGAGTATTGATATCCCAACTTTTTTCTCCCTAATATTTGCATGGAATATATTTTTCCATCCCTTCACTCTCAGTCTGTGTGTCTCTTTTGTTCTAAGGTTTGTCTCTTGCAGACAGCATATATACTGAGTGTCCAGATTATTATGATCTCTGAATGCATAATAATTTGACCACTCACAGTGTGTGTGTGTGTGTGCGTGTGCATGTGTGTGCATATATATATATATGTGTGTGTGTGTGTGTGTGTGTGTGTGTGTGTGTGTGTGTGTGTATGGGGCCCAGTGCATGAATTTGTGCATGGGTGGAGTCTGGACAGCCTGGCCAGGGTTAGGGGACATGGGCAGTTGGCCGGCCTGCCTGCTGGTTGAACTCCTGGTCGAAGGGACAGTTTGCATATTAGCCATTTATTATATAGGCTATACACTGAGTGGCCAGATTATTATGTGTTCAGAGATCATAATAATCTGACCATTCAGTGTAAATGGGTTATGTTTTCTTATTTATTCAATCACCCTATATCTTTTAATTAATTTCCATTTAAGGTTATTGATAGGTATTTATTTATTGCCATTTTTATTTTCTTTATGCCTATGATTCTCTCCCCCTTCTTTTCTTCTTCTTAAAGCAGCCCCTTTAACTTTCCTTGCTTTGTTGTTTTGGTGATAATATTCTCCTTTAAATCTTTTTTTTTTTTTTTGTCTGCAAAGTTTTTATTTTACCTTTAAATTTTAAGTGATATTCTGGCTGGATCCAGTAGTCTTGAATTTAGATCCTTGCATTTTATTACATTGAGTACTTCATGCCATTCCCTTCTGGCCTGGATTGTTTCTATTGAGAAGTCAATTGACATTTTAATGAGAACTCATTTGTAGGTAATTTTCTGTCCCTCTCTTTACCTTTAAGATTCTTTCTTTGTCTTTAACATTTGCCATTTTAATTATGATGTGTCTAGGTTTGGGTCTCTTTGTGTTCATCTTGCTTGGGACTCTCTGTGCCTCCTGAACTTTTGTGACATTTTCCTTCACCAGATTGTGGAAGCTTTCTGTCATTCTTCCTTTAAACAGGTTCTCTGTTCCTTGCTCATCCTCTTCCCAGTCTGGTATTCCCATAATGCAGACATTGTTACATTTCATATTGTCCCAGAGCTCCCATAAGCTATCTTCCTGCTTATAATTCTTTTTTCTATTTTCTACTGTAATTGGGTATTTATTTCTACCTTGTCTTCCAAATTGCTGATTCAATCTCCTGTTTCATCCAGTCTTCTTTTAATCCTTTCCAATGTGTTCTTGATGTCAGACCTATCACTTTTCATTTATGTCTGGTTCTTGTTCATGGCCTCTATTTCCCAAGTTCCTTACACATCTTTATAATCATTGCTTTGAACTCTATATCTAATAGATTGCTTGCATCCATCTCATTTAGTTCTTTTTCTGGAGATTCCTTTCTCTCTCTCTCTCATTTAGGGATCATTTCTGTTTCCCTGTTTTAGCTATCTCTTTGTATTTGCTTCTAGATATTAGTTAAAACTGCTATGCCTTTCAGTCTTCATGGGATGGTCTTATGTAGAAAGTATCCTGAGGGATCTGGTGGTGTAGTTTCTTTGTTCACTTTTTGAATGCCACTTGAGTGTGTTGCTTGGGCTCTCCTGTTGTAATTGGACTTGATTGTTGATGCCCCATTTGTGGGAGGGATCTACCCTCCGACTTGCTGCTAGTGAGGTTCAACCCAGGTGTCGTAGCGCCAGCTGTTATAAAAGTGTTCTGAGTCTGTTATTTGTGGGCTCATTGGATTTTGCTCAGATGTTGTTGAAATTTGTCCTTCGGTGTGTATATCTTGGGCCTCCTGAGAGCTTCTCTAGTGCAGTTGAATGTGAGTAACTGCCGCTATTTGGCCCTGGGAAACCTGATTGAAGTCTGAGAGGTTGAATCTCTTCATAGAACAGTGGTCAGGAACTTCTTAGCCCCAACCAGGGAGGCTTGGTCTGTCTTGAGTCTCATACATTGATTTACCCCGTTCTGAGCTGTTCTCCCTTCTCACGTGGATCTGGTTTTACAGGTGTCAGCTGCAGGAGCTTTGTGTTCCACTGGCGTTTGCCTTACTAAGCAGTCTAGAATGATATCTGCAGCAGGACCCAAACTGCTGTTTCTCTCCTGTCAGGATCTTGATATCAGCCTTGGGAGACTCCTGCCATGTCAATAAGACCCATATGGCTCTCACTTCATCTTTTGGTGGGGATGGGTATGTGGGGGAGATGGGTGCATAAATGCCTGGTCTAAGGCTAGACAATTCAGGTTAGCAGAGGGAAGAATCCTAGGGGTAACTTTGAATTCAGTTCAGTACCTTGAGCAAGGACTGAAGTGAATTCCTCTTTTAGGGCAATAGAACTCCACAGAGCAGAACCACTAGTATAATCCCTGGTGTCCCCTCAAGCAGGGCTTCCAGGGTAAGATGCCCCTGACTTTATCCTCAGTAATCACAGGGAGACAAGGATCCAATTAAAAGGTTACTAAGGCCCTTCTAGATGTTAAAGTGAGGACTGAGGAGAGTATATAGTATCAGGCCCTTCCTCTGTGTTTAGACCTGGGGAGATATATCATTCTGACATCTCCTCTCCCCACCCCGATATTCCAGAATATCAGGTGCATGAGAGCCTTGATCTGATTGCTCTAAGCCTCAAACTTGGAGAAGGAAGGATACCAGGCAACCAAGGGAAGGAGCCACATAAGCAACCTAAGGATTTGGGGAAGCACTCATCAAAGAACAGAAGGTATTTCATATAGCCCTATATGTGATATCATCCCTGGTGGGGTTCCCACGGAAGATACGTAAAACTGAGACATTCCTAAACTCCTCCTCTGGACTTTCAGGAATATGGTAACCTTGCTCCAAAAGGATATGTCTAAGATCAGCTGAGGGAGCAGTCCAAGGCCTTGCAAAAAAACCAAGGTGAATACTCTGAGTGAGGAGTCTAATTAATCCAGAACAGAGAGGGTCACACAGAGCTCTGTGATTACTGTCATCCCAGGGTATCCCTAGACAGGTGTGCCCAGAAGAGGTTTCTCCTCAGTTCTTTAACCTCAGTATCAGGGAAGTAAGGGTTTTGGAAAGAGGGGTCAGCATCAAAGCAATTTAATTGACAGAGCACCACAGATCCTGCCAGAAGTGGAGGTAATGGCCCTGACTGTGAACTAAAAACACCTGCTTCTCAAGAATAGGAGAGGCTACACAGAGTCTGGGCTTGTCAGACCTTGTATCAGCTCCATTAAGATGTAGGTAGGGCTGGAAAGTTGCAGCCTAAGGCAAACTCCAGTTACCCTTACAGAGTCCTGCCAGGAAAGGCAGCTCAGAGAAGAGGAGTCTCTCAGATTCCAAGAGCAGTGCCCTCAAGTTAACCTGCAGAGATAGTTGTCAATAAAATTTCCGGTGGTATCTCTTTGCTAAGGGTATCACACCATTTCATCTTCTTTCATCCAGGTCATCTTCTTTCCCACATTCTTGCTTTCTGTCGCTGACTAGAGTCATCATGCCTCGGGGACAGAAGAGTAAGCTTCGTGCTCGTGAGAAACGCCGCCAGGCCCGAGAAGAGAGTAAGGATCCAGTGGGTGCTCAGGCCACTGTATCAGAGGAAGAAGAATCCCCTTCTCTCCCATCTCCTGGTGTCAAAGATGATTCTCAGAGTTCACCTGCCAGTGGAACACCCAGCGATCCTCAAGTGCTTGGGGAAGTCCACTCCACCACTTCTAGTGCTGAGGCTGCTTCAAGCACAAGAGTTCCTGAAGATGCTAACAATCAATTGGAGGAAGCGCTAAATGCCTTACATGCCAATGATATCGCTGAATATTGGTACAGAGGCCCTTTGGATGAAAAGGTGGTTGTGTTGGTGCACTACCTGCTGTACAAATATCAAAGAAAGGAGCCCATTACCAAGGTAGATATGCTAAGAAATGTAATCCAGGTTTACAAGCATAACTTCCATGAGATCTTCAAGAGAGCTTCGGAGCACTTGGAGCTGGTATTTGGCCTTGATGTGAAGGAAATGGATCCCAACAGAAATACGTATGTCCTCATCAACAAACTGGAACTAAGCTGTGATGCGAAAGAACAGAGAGGTGTCCCCAAGACAGGTGTGCTGATGACAATCTTGGGCGTGATCTTCATGAAAGGCAACCGCGCCACTGAAGAGGAAGTCTGGAAAGTGCTGAATATGATGGGGTTACATGATGGGAGGAAGCACTTCATCTTTGGGGATCCCAAGAAGCTCGTCACAGAAGATTTGGTGAAAGATGATTACCTTGTGTACCGCCAGGTGCCTGACTGTGATCCTCCATGCTACGAGTTCCTGTGGGGTCCAAGAGCCCACTGTGAAACCACCAAGATGAAAGTCCTAGAGTTTGTGGCCAAGGTTAATCATACTACCCCCAGTGCCTTCCCACGCTATTATGAAGAGGCTTTGAGAGATGAGAAAGAGAGAGCCCAAGCCAGATCTACAGCCAGGGCTCGAATTGCTGCCATGGCCAGTGCACGCTCCAAGGCCATTGCCAGCAGCCTTTCCTCCCCCAAGTAAATGCTGAGGAAGATTATTTACCATGTGTTTGAGGAGAATAGCTAATGTTATCTTTAGTGGAAGGTTGGGGTCAGTTTAGAGACAAGAGTTTATGACATGTTTATGTTTCCTGTTCCATGTAATAATTTGCATATTTGTCTAAATGTTGCGCCTCTTAATAGAAAGTTTAACTAACTCTGAAGCTGAGTTAATGACTGATCTAAGTCACACATTTATTGATGTTTATAAGTTTTAAGAGAATGAGGTTTACTATTTTAGCATGTCAACTGTAATTGAAAATAAATTTTAAGAAAATGGAAAAAATATTAAGTCGATTTCTCATTTGGGAACAGATATTACAATTTTGAGTTTTCTCAGTAGTTCAGACATTTAATAATTTAGCCTAATAAATTTATATTTGAAAATTGCAAAAAATAGTTGTGCTATTTTAAGAACAAATGTGGAAATTTTCTGTTTAGTTATTTGAAACAAGATAACAGTAGTGTATTGACTGGGCATGTTCTTGGAAATGTGAAAGAACTCAGCATTAAAATAGTTGGGATAAAGAAGCACCAAAATAAATTAAAATATAAGTTTTTGCATTCTCTTACCACTTTTAGTCTGTAATATGAGGAGAGATATTTTTGGATGTGCTTAGATTATTCAAGAATGTTGACTTAATTTCATCATAATAAATTAGATCTCTTGCACACTGTGTCATTTATTTCTCACATTCCTTGAGCATCTTCTTTATGGTAGGCTTCTTGCTACTTCTGGGTATGTCAGTATCAACAAGACCTACCGTGCCCAAGCTATGTTAGCATCTAGGAACAACTGTCATGTCAGGAAGATGGTGAGATAGACCCTAAGACCTAAGGACAAGTCCAGAGGAGGAGAGAGGGCATGAGAGGATCTAGATGTGAACAGTCACATGTAAATGTCCTGAGGCAAGGGAGTTTAGGGCCTTGGGCAATTTTTTTGGTGTGAGTCACTTTTACATTAAAAATTGTAATTAAAAAATAATAATGATAAAATTAAACTTAAAATAAATTATGTTCAGCTGGGTAGTGGATCAGATGAAGAGGCTGAGGAATAGGTAGATAATGGCCAGTCCCTCCGAAAGTGAGTCCAGAGTGGAGAGACTAAGGACTGCAATGGTTAACTGCTTAATGGTAAAAGACCTAAATTAACCAGTGAGAAATTTCCATCTGAGGCAGGAATGGGATGTGCCTTGTGCTTTTATCCCAGTGCAGATGGCAGTATATATACATCTCCACAGAACCTTAGAGAAGCAATGGTGATACTGCTTTAGCATGTGATGCTCAGAAGCCACCCTGCTGGCTGGAAAATAAGCTCACTGTGTATAGAGTGTTTAAATTAGGTTATCTTGGGTATAAATTGGCAAACTGAAAGTGAGTGATAAATGCTTTGATGAGAGCGAACCAGTTAGTGCTTGACTCATTTTACAGAAGCCTTGTACATATCCACTGGGAAGTTTTTCTTAATTGCTTATAAACTACTCTAAAATGTTCCTTAGCAAGTTACTTAATTAATTTACTCGATAAGAAGCATTTGGGCTGTGTTGGTATGGATGTCCTATGGGGCTGTATGTTGCCTGATATCTTCAGGATTAAAATATAATTAAAAATTCCAAGATGTGAGAATGGTGGTGTTTGAGGTCAGAATTATAATACTAATAATTGCTAATTATCAAGAGCTCAATACATACCAGTCACTGGACCAGGTGCCTTACATAAATTAATTATATTACAGTTGACAAGGTAAACATGAGTCAGGGGGAAAGGTAAACATGCGGCCAACCTATTTCAGATAAAGAACCTGAGGCTCATATAGATTTGCAGTTTTCATGAGTTCACATTGATCCTAAGAGACAAGCCTGAAAAGAAAGACCTAGTCTGATACTTCCAGAGCCTGCAATGCTCCACTACTCCCAGCCTAAGGTGGACTTGGGGTATCAATTTATTTCTCTGCTCCCTACTCCACAATGTTTCTCAGGCAATTAAAAGATGAAACTTATGGCTAAAGTACTAAGAGCAAGACTAAAGAATGAAGGTATACCCTGGAGGGTGTTTCTCAGTGGATAGAGCATCAGCCTGTCAATTCCTGGTCAAGGGCTCTTACCTGGGTTGAGGGTTCAATCCCCGGCCCCAGCCAGGTGTGTGTGGGAGGCAACCAATCCATGTGTCTCTCTCACATCGTCTCATCTCTCTCTCTCTCTCTCTCTCTCTCTCTCTCTCTCTCTCTCTCTCTCTCTCTCTCTCTCTCCTCCCCCTCCACTCTCTCTGAAAATGGAAAAAATATCCTTGGGTGAGAATTAACAACAAAAAGTATGAAGGTGACAATGAGAATGAAGCACAATGCAGGGATTGTCTGTGATTCATTTACCCAGGGTCCTCGTGCTCCCCCCCTACCCCCACCCAGCTCCTTGAGAGTTGACTCTGCCCTGGGTCCAGCACAAGTGTCCAGTCCCAGCCCTTTGCTGCATTACAGCGCCCTTCCCCTGGGTCTTCCCCAGTGTGCCTCCTGTCCAGGCTGGAACCTGTCCTGCCATCCAGCTCTTCTCCACATCCTCCCCTGCAGGCAGCTCCCTGCTCCCCTGAACACACAACCCATGTCCCCTGCCTCCCCGACCTGGAGCATCCAAATCCCTGCAGATTCCCTCCTTCTCTGAGGACCCCTCAGGCAGCAGCGGCCCTTTCCATGCAATTCCTCACTTCGGATGGGGAAGTTTACACACCTCTCTGCAGCCTCTCTGGCTGCCTCCACCAAACTCAAAGTTTTTTTTTTAGCCAGATCAGCTGGTATGTAGACTCTGATTTGGCATGAAATCAGAGTCTACATACTTGATTTATAACCCCAAGGCTAAAGAGGACTTTGTGAAACAACCATAATTGCAGGAGAATGTCTTTTTTTTTTAATTTCAGTTTACATTCAATATTTTCTATTAAGCTCAGGTGTATAGCAGAATTGTTAAACAATCATATTCTTCACAAGGTTCTCCTCCTGATATTGCCAGTCCCACCTGGCACCATACATAGCTATTACAATATTATTGACTATTTCCTGCAGAAGAATTTTATAGGGTGTCCTAACTGGGACAGGCCACTGAATCTGTAGTTTACATATACTACTTTATTTAAAGTCTATGGAGTAGGTGCAACTTGCTTCTTGAACTTGAAATCAAATCAAACATGCAAGTCCTCAGATGTTTATCTCTGCAGGAACCTAATTTTTATTTCTGGAGTTAAAATCACTCTTTCCCTAATATAAAGCCTAGATCAACTTCTTTATCCCCCTTTGCATGGTGCATATGACCTTGTGCTATGCAGCCTTTCCTAGCAGCAGATCTTATCTGGAACCATCACAAAACATCACTGAGTTTCTAACAATGTTTGACCTCCAAAAGGATGTTGCAAGAGTTTCCATCATTTCCTCCGATGTGGCTCACTGGGTGTTGGGCACATTTATCTATCTTTCCCCAGTGAATAGGATCTGTAACCAAGGGATATTGAGAGGAGCCTTCTTTGCTAGGCTATAGTACAGATATATACACACACCAGGGTTGCAAGTGCCGTTCTTAGTATTTGCATTATTGAGATGGGACATGTAAGAAGATAGGGAAGGTAAAGGTGAAAAAGAGAAGAGGTAATGGAGGAGAAGGAAAACTTCAAAGACGACTTACTTTATAGAAGTATTTTTCATTTTTTTTCTCTAAAAATAAAGAACCAGGTGTATTTTAGACATAATGCATCCCTGCAAGGTGATACTGGTTCTCTCAGTTTCCAATATTCTTAAGGCTACACATAAGTGTATATGGTGAAGAAAATTATGTTCCATGGCATTAGGCAGTATGTCATTTCAGCAAAAATAGGAATGCTATATAGTGGGTTCTTCCCAAAATTATTTTTATTTCTGTAGCCCTAAAAATATGCTGTTTTAGTTTGCATGCTTTTGATTTAAAAATAGATGGTACATTATGTACAAGATAAAGATAAAGGGAATGGAAATTATTTTTTCTGTAGTAATGGAAATACATAGAGCCACGCCAATTCTAAAGCAAGAATGAAATACTATATGAAAAATTTTAAAACAGAGATAAATACAGCAAGAAAATTTGTATCAGTCATAATAAAAAAGTCATTATATTAGAGAGAGATTTGAGGTTAATATACCAATTGAATTGGCTGATATAAAAAAAATGAGGAGGCAGAAAATTTAGAATTACTAGCCCCAGAGTAGAATTTGCAGGGACTACAGTCAATTCATTATAACATGCTCAATTTACTTATTTTTAAGAGAACATTTAGTCTAATGACTTAGGGACTATTTGACATCTGCAAAATCTCTTCATAGGATTACCTAGATTAATGTTATATTGAGCAACTAACTGGGAGAAGACAATCTTGGGGACACAGCTTAGTATTCTGCCAATAGCCTAAAGGTTAATCATTTTACTCCTAGAGAAACTCTTACAAATATGCCCAAAACACATACAGAAAAGTGTTTATAAAAAGTAACGTTTTGGAAACAACTTTAATGTATATATTTATCAACAAGGTTATAAATATACAAAGTGTGTTATTTTTATAAAATGTGAAAGGTGGAATTAATCCACATGTTTCAACATGGATGAATCTCAAAACTACACTGGACAAAACAGACAGTTATAGCAGAATTTATAAAATATGATATCATATACAACAAATATTGTTTGCAAAATGTATGGCATATGTGTTAGAGATACCAAAGCAAAGAACTCCTATAAATCATTAATAAAAACCCAATACAGACTTCTAGTCAAGATGGAGGTATAGGTAAATGCAGTAGTACCATCTGCCCACAACCACATCAAAATTACAACTGAAGTACAGAACAACCATCATTCAGAGCTGCCTAAAATCTAGCTGAATAGAAGTCCTACCACTAAGGATTTAAAGAAAAAGCCACATTGAGACTGGTAAGAGTGGTGCTGATGAGGAATGGACTGGTATCACACCCAT